TTATATTAAGTGTGCTGGAATTGAATTTCCCTTTTAAAAAGCAGAGACTATCAGATTGATATAAAAAGCAAAGCTTACCTATGTATTATTTTCAGGAGCATACTTAGGCTGATGAAGAGACCTCCTGGTGAAGGCAGATAGGTAATTCAGAGCAGCCTTCTTGCTGAAGACAACTGAAAAGTCAGGCAACACACAAAAATCACCAAAGAGCTAATAAGATGATGAGGTAGCACTAGATTAACATCCAGAAGGAGACAGAAATTCAGGGAAGAGGCTCAATGTTTGGGGTTGCTCTTGCCTAGGATACACTATCCTTTTCAAAAGAAGCATTGAGGCTATGAAAGGCTGAGAATTGGACCCATATATGAGACTAGGAGAATAAAACGGAGTGTAGGACCTATAAACTAGAGCACCCATAAAACCTACCCTATCCTTTCAGTTAGCACGGGGGGGAGCTGTACCTTAGGAGACATAATGAACCAGAAATAACCACTTTTCACATGGACTGAAGTCCAGGTGTAAGTCACATGTGCATCCCAGAAAATGTTAAATCCCCAAATTGGACTAATTTGATTCCAGTATGAATATCCTAGGGGGCCTGGCATTCACTCACACACATTCACTCTAAAGAAATGTTCGAAAAAGTGACTGTCAGTGGTTGCAAAGCTCAGTACGTACACTAAAAACCATTGAATTGTACACTTCAAATGAGTAAATGGTATGGTAGATGAATTATATCTCAATATAAAACTCATATAAAAGTAAACTTCTTCCCTAAAACAAGAAAACATTATCCTAGACCCCATTGTTTTTATAAATAATTTTTCAAAAATAATCCTCCTGAATATGAACCAGGCACATGAATAAACACAATACCATGAATAAGAACTAGCACCAATAATGTAACAGGAGGAGATCCACTGGTACTCCCAAGGATGAAATTATTAGGCACAAGCTATAAGACAATGTGCTAATGTGCAAATGAAGATAAAACTAAAAATTCAACAAAGAACTAGTAACAGGGACATTGTAGATTTGACCTTATGATTCTGGTCATAAGGCATACTATCTTTCAAACAGATCAGGACTTGTGCAAATAATACTCTAAACTCTGAGGAAATTTTTAAGATAATTACACTTAAAAGGACTAGAGAGAAACCATATATAAGCAGAAACTGGAGTGGCATCTACAAATGGCAGAAGGGAATCACACTGAATGATTTTCCTATTTTTGTAACTTTTTGCCTGAGGGTAAACCCCAGATAGCATCAGTCAGGGCTGCTAAAACTTGGTAGGAGCCTACAGTCTTAACTTTTGATTTCATCCAAGATGAAATAGCAGAGACCAAGCTTCCCACCTGAAACAAAAAACAAAAACAAATGTAAAAAAAGAGTAAAACAATGGATTTCAAGATAGCATCATGCAGGGAAGGATGATGAGTTCTGAATGATGGGAAACAAATGAGGTTGCCCCCAGCTTATTATCTGAAGGTTTCCGGTTGACGGCATAGAGAGCGAAACCAAGCAGAGCCTGTTGTGCCTGTTAACTAAGAAGAGAGAACTAAGAGCCCAGCTGGGTGAAGACAGCTCACAGGACTGAGTAACAGGGAGGAACATGCTGCATAGAGAACTGCCGAGGACCCTCCTCCAGTATTCAGCAGAGAACTGATGAGCACCCGCATGTGAAGATACTGCCCGAGGCCCAGGAACAAGACCGCCCCAGGTGATGAGCGGGAACAGCACCTGGTGCTCACACAGGACCAGGCCTAATGCCTGTACCAGCCGGGCTGAAACACCTCACAGCTTACCCAGGTAGAGTACTCTGAAGGGTCCCGCCTCAGGAATGGGGGCAAAAATAGCCCTAGGTTAAATACTGTCTTGGGTTCTGCCTGACAAATACTACAACCCAAAAGTATCTGTTTTCACGTAATTTAACTATCACAGAACAAAGCTTAATGATATTTGTAGAAATACAAAAATATAAAGCACTCAACAATGCAAAAGTAACAATTTCTGTCATACAAAGATTAGCAGGCATGCAAAAAAGAAGGAAAAAAATAACCGTAAGGAAGAGAAAAACTGATTAGTTGAAACCAATCCAGATTTGAGACACCATTTAGAATTAGCAGATACAGACTTTAAAACAGTCATCACTATATTCAATATGTTCAAAAACTTATACAGACATAGCAGTTAGGAAAAAAGAAATCCAAACTTACCTTTTATAGATGAAACGAGTGTCTGAGATGAAAAATACACTGGATGGGACTAACAATAACTTAGACATTGCTAAAGAAAAGACTGGAGAACTTAAAGACATAACAGTAGACAATCCAAAATAACACAAATTAAAAAATTCTTTTAATGAAAAGAACATCAGTTAACTGAGGGACAGCAAATGGTATAATATATGTCTAACTGGAGTCCCTGCAAAGAGTCCCTGTAATTGGGCTAGCAAATAATATTTCAAGAAATGGTGGCTCAAAACTATACCAATTTCATGGAGACTTAAACCGTATCTAAGAAGCTCAACAAGCTAGGAATAAGAAACATGAAGAAATAATAGTAAGAAACATAATCAAATTGCTCGAAATCAGGGATGAAGAGAAGATCTTAAAAGCTGTTAATGGGAAGAGATAGTTCCATACCAAGGAAAAAGATAAGGATAATGGCATATTTCTCATTGGAAACAATTCAGTCAAGATGAAATACTGAGGAGTGGCAGGGATAAATTGGGAGATTGGATTGACACACACTACTATATATAAAAGAGATGACTAATAAGGACCTATTGTACAGCACAGGAAACAATCAGTATTCCGTAATGACATATATGGTAAAGAATCTAAAGAAGAGAGGGTAATATACAACTGATTCACTGTGCTGTACAGCTGAAACTAACGGCATTGTAAATCAACTATATACCAATTTTAAAAGTTATAAGAATTTTCATACTGCTAGACCAGAGGGAAAAATAGATACATAGAAAAATAAAAGTGTTCTTTAAGCAAATTCAGTTGATTAAAAAAAAAGATAAAATACTCAGAGGAAAAAAGTGTCAACCTAGAATGCTAAACCCCTTTCAGACATTCCAAATTCTTTCAAAAACAAAGGCCTTTTCAAAAAACAGTCTAGCAGTGTCCGTTCTACTGTGTGGGTGTCTGTCCACGCAACAGTACTTGATCAAAAGGATGTGTACAGAGGTGATTGCTGTAGCGTTTGCAGCAGGATAAGGCGGTGAGTGCCTGTTAGTAGAGGACTGGCAGGCTGACTCAGGGCACCCACTTTCAGCCAGGCAGCCATTAGCGCCTTAGGACTACAAGCCGCAGAGGGCTCTCCACACGGCGCTGTTACACAGAAGGTAAGACTCAGGTGACCTGTATGGCATACAAGTTTATATAATAAACAATCTTGAAAAAATGTACATGTGTACCTATATGTGTGTCTAGGACCATATGAGATGAGGAAAGCCAGGTTTTAAAAAAGAAAAACCTTTTTACTTAAAGATGTAAATACTAATGCACTTATATAAAATTATATATACATAAGTTGGAGAAGGAAATGGCAACCCACTCCAGTGTTCTTGTCTGGAAAATCCCATAGACAGAGGAGCCTGGCGGGCTACAGTCCATGGGGTTGCAGACAGTCGACTACGACTGAGTGCCTGTGCCTGCACACACAGGTGTGTGTGCAGATCACAAACACTATATACTCTGTTTATCCAATCTCTCCTAGGTTTGTAGACCTTCTCCACCCAGTCACTAATACTAATCTTTATGCATAATTGCTGTAATGAAAGAAGCAGGAGAGGCTTCTGATGCTTGTATTTCTAAGAATTCATCTTCTTTCTGTTACACCATGATATTTGGTTTCTAGGCAGGTATTTCTAACAGAGTCAGACTTAGCATTAATTATAATGTTATAATTATAATATGGGCTTCCCTGGTGGCTCAGTGGTAAAGAATCTGCCTGCCAATGCACAAGACAAGGATTTGACCTCTGGGTTGGGAAGATCCCCTGGAGGAGGAAACGGCAACCCACTCCAGTACTCTTGTCTGGAGAATCCCATGGACAGAGGACCTTGGTGTGCTGTAGTCCATGGGGTCACAGAGAGTCAGACACAAGTGAGCACACACACACACAAATTATATTATGCTTATGTGTGCTTAGTCACTCAGTCATGTCCAACTTGTTGTGACCCCGTGGACTGTAGCCCACCAAGGTCCTCTGTCCATGGGATTCTCCAGACAAGAGTACTGGAGTGGGTTGCCATTTCCTCCTCCAGGGGATCTTCCCAACCTAGGAATCAAACCTGGGTCTCCAGCGTTGCAGGCAGATTCTTTACCTTCTGAGCCACCCTAGGACTCGTGTCCTTAACTAATACTGTTATTAAGTAATGACAGTAACTAATATTTATTGAGTATGGACTTTATATAAAATCTCTGACAGTCCTCACGAAAACTCTATTAGGTACACATTATCACTTCTTAAAAATAAGTAATGTGAGGAACTCAGACATTGCATAATTTGCCGAATGTTGTATAGTCAATAATTGACAAAAGGCACAGACAAAATACCTTAATAGGGTCATAACCGCAAATATACATTTTAGACATAAGAAACAAGATTCTAATCAAAAGATCATAGAGTGTGATAAATGAGGGGAAAGCAGTTATCTGGGGAAAAAGAAATTGTTCCGGTTCCTCTGACTTCACGCGTCCCAGGAAGTTCACTTTGTTGTCCTCATGCCACCTACCCCTGGATTCCGTGACCCTCTCTATCGGTAACAGCAGAGCCCTGACAGAAGACTTAGACCAAGAACAAGACCCAGGACATTTAGAGTGGACAATACATTGGTCCACATTTGAAAATGATAGTTAAGAATATGTTTGAGATAAGTTTTTTTTCCCTGTCTGTTTTTTTCATCCTAGCAAAGCTGCATGAGTAAGTATGTTTAAGCTGAGTGTGTTTAAACATTACCATTAACTTCTGGATTTGCAGCCAGTGAGAACCAGCCAGAGAAGCCTCACTTTGATTCTCGCAGCGTGATATTTGAGTTGGATCCTTGCAATGGGAATGGGAAGGTTTGCCTTGTCTACAAAAGAGGGAAACCAGGTAAGAATCATGGCAGGCGCAGTTCTGTAGTCTGGGAATGGCCTTGGCTAATCTTGCTCTCCAGCCATCACACAGAAGACATGCTGCTCCCTGACCTCCTAAGATGCTGCAGGGTCTCAGGTAGATGCCAAGAGAAAGCCCCTTAGGTCCTCTCTGAGTACTCTCCCTCCAGGTCCATTTAAGGTACTGTCATTTGCAAGTTACTGCAGAGTAATAAGATTAGGGTAATAAGTGAATAAAAAGTAAAAGAAATAGTTACTCTGTTAATAACTCCTCTAGCTGGTTCATGTGTTAGAAAAGCATCCAGGAAAAGCTGAATTACTAAACCTCAGTCTAAGAGGGAAAGGCTCTGACCTCCTGTGCAGTGGCTGCCACTGGACATAGGCCACCCCTGACAGCAGTTCAGTCCCAGAGGTGGACAAGGGCCAGCCCTCTTCAGGTACCTCTCTGCCTGCAAGGGGTGAGAAGACACACCAGGATTTACCTCCGGGGGAAGCAGAGACCATCTCCTGCTGGAGGAGTCTTTGTGAAGCAGCCTTTGAGCTGCATCTTGAAATATTGGTTGGATTGAGATATGGGTGGTGAGGGTGGGGCAAAAGAGGGCATCCACGCAAAGAGATGGGTAAAAGCCATGCCGTGGGGCACTACAACTGATTTGAGGGAAATGACAGGTAATTTTAGTTCATTGGCCACTGGGTTCATCTTGTGGATGAGGGGAGATGATGCCAGAAGCCCTCTGTGCCGAGTCCTGAAAGCCAGGTGAAGGAGTCTGGCCACTCTGTGGAAGTATGGGGGGAGTCAAGGTTGTTTAGCACAGATACAGCAGGATTCACGTGAAAATGTGGCCACGAGTAGCACTGGAAGAGGAGGCTACTGGAGGATGGGTGCCATTTAGGGGGGCGTCACAGCCATTAGAGAGGAGAGGAGATGAGCTAGGAGAGACCTCCACAGTCGTAAGGATGGATGGGCAGAAGCACGTGTGAGGCAGGAGCTGCTAGAGCAGTGCTTCAGCTCCACCAGCACAGCACACCACCGCACAGGCAAGAGTCCCAGGAGAGGGCGGCCTTCTCAGACCTCCTGAGAAAGCCAGGGCTCCTCAGAGTCTCTCTCCATCAGGAAGGCTGAGCCCGCAGCCTGTCGCTGTTGGGGGAAGGGAAGCGTCGCGTCCACACAGGAAAGCAGCGCTCCTTAGGCAGCCTGAGTGCACGGATGGCCAGGGCCCAGCGATAGGTCAGTTGACTGACTGATCAAGAACTTGTAAAAGAATACCAGAGAAACCTTGACAGTGGCCACTGGAGAACAGAGCTGGGAGGTTGGAAGGGAAAAATGGGAACTTTTACATTCCTTTTACTGTTGAAATTTGTTTTAACCAAAACAAATGGATGTTGTTTTTATAGAGTGGATGTTGACTTTATAGATAAAAGGAAAAAAGTGTTAAGCCATCCCTTTATGTCTTCTGTCTGCTGTTTCAGGATTAGCACAGGACACTGAGATCTGGTTCCTGGACAGAGCATTATACTGGCATTTTCTCACAGACACCTTTACTGCCTATTACCGCCTGCTCATCACCCACCTGGGCCTGCCCCAGTGGCAGTACACCTTCACCAGCTATGGCGTCAGCCCCCAGGCCAAGGTAAGGGAGGACTCCCTGTCACCTCAGACTGCAAAATGTATCAGAATCTTCTGAGGAAATGCCTAAGTTGCAGAGTCCCAACTTCATCTGATTCTGCAGATCTGGGTAGAGCCCAGGAACCTGCATTTTCAATAAACAAAGTAGGTGCTTCCAATTCAGGTGGACAGCAGCACTTTATACTAATCTAGTTAAGTGGTTCCCAGCCTTGGCTAGTCCTCAGACTCCTCTGGGGAGTTTTAATTTCTAATGAATTGGGGAGGGGACAGGGCTTAAGTTTGATGGCTGGTTTTGGATACACAGTACACGCACACAAGAACAAAGAACAATCAGTCTCTTATTCTCTGGCTCCTCATCCATCCACTTCCCCACCAGCAGCCGCTGTTGGTGTCTCCTGTGCCCTCACTGAGCTATGTTGCTGGATGGAAGGCACTCACGCATACAGTTTGGGCTTCTTTTTTTCTAAGTCACAAGTGTGACACTTCACATTGTTCTGCACCTTCTTTTCACTTAATTGCACATTGGAGCTCATTCCCTATCCATATATAGAGAGCTGTCTCTTGCATTGATATTTGGTATTTCAAAATAGGGATGTGCCTCATTTATACTATAGATCTAGATACCAGTTTAAACATACAGATGTCAGATAATGCTGATAGACTGCCTTGTTTGAGAACACCAGGTGTGTCAAGAAGAACTTTTGCCCAGGTGGCAAAAAATGAGGGACTCAGTTCCCTGTATGTATTCATCAAGGGGACCTCACCTTGCTCAAATGGCGCATGATAATGACGTCATCCAGGCAACATAGCGGGTGGTTATTATCAATGAACATCAGTAAGTGTAGATGCCCTTTGCCTTCAGCTGCCCAGGAAGAGAGCAGGCGGCTTCCCTCAGCAGAGCCGGCTCTGGTCTTGGTCTGCTGTTTCCCCATGGGAAGGATGCTACCCAATCCACCCGAGGGGCAGAGACCAATGTGAGGGCAGAACAGTTAGAAGGACACTGTACCCTGTACCTTGGGGACCTAGTATCCCATGCTCAGGGCTCACTACATTAGAAGGAAGCATATTTACTCAGATTCTTCATCCTCATCCTGCTCTAGTTAAAGGTCCATTTATAAGACCCCATAAAGCAATGTGTGTCTTCCTTTTTACCCAAAGGAAGGGCTGATAGATTTTAGAGGCAGTTTTTCACGAAAACTTTTACTCTCTGCCTCATCTCCCCAGCTCTCTACCCCTCTCTCTCCACTAAAGAACATGAGCACATGCTTGTCTCCTTTGAATTGTGACTGTCTCTCCCAACTCTGCCTTACAGCAATGGTTCAACATGTATAAACCCATCACCTACAACACAAACCTCCTCACTGAAGAGACCGACTCCTTTGTGAACAAGCTGGATCCTAGCAAAGTGTTCAAGAGCAAGAACAAGACCATAATCCCCAAAAAGAAAGGGCCTGCTCAGCCTGCAGGCGGCCAGAAAGGGCCCTCAGGTCCTGCTTCCACCTCTAAATCCGCCTGTGGGTCTGGAAACCCTGTCCGGAAATGAGCATCCCCCTCTGCCTCCCCACCTGCCCCACAGTGGTAATGTCCATGCACAGATGCCCCGGGCATGGCCCAACCTCAGAGTCTGTGTGTGGAACCACAGTCCTCTCTCCGTCTGCACTTGATCTCAGCCAAAAGGCTGAGACGCGATTCCTCTCCCCATCTAAATGACAGAATCCTAGGCCTTTTACTCCCATTGGCCTGAGCCAGGAGTTGGAAGGGCATACTCAGGTCTCCCCAGGAATCCTTCCTGCATACCCATTACAGCAGGCACCCATTGTGCCATCTACTGCTCCTGGGAGCTGTGAGGAATGTAAGCTTTTATGTAAGTGACTAAGTAGATCTGTTAAGAGCTTTCTTCTCTTTCTACCCCAACCCCCCTACCCATCAGCAGTAATTACAGAGGTTCCCCAAAGAAACCACTGGTTTTGGCCTAGGAGGCATTAGAACTATGCTGTTCAAATTGGTAGCCACTTTTAAAGCTGCTAAATTTAAGCCATATTAAAAATTCAGTTCCTTAGTTTTATTAGCCACATTGGGTATAATATATTCATGTGGCTAATGGATTCTGTATTTTGATGAAACATTTGTATCATCACACAAAGTTTTGTTGGGTAGCACTACATTACAATATTTTTGCATTACCCTTACTCAGATCAGTTCATTTTTGTTAGAGAATATTAAACACTCTCACAGTTTGATGGGTTATAATGTTCCTCGTAAAATCCTGAAGATACATTTTTATGTTTTTTATATCCTTCCCCACAAGCAAATCTTGCTTTGCTCATTTTCAATTTTCAATAGTTTTTCATCTTCATCAGTTTTCTATAAAGTTTCTTGTTTCCAGTTTTGTGATGTGATATTTGCACATTTGCCAAAATTATCTTTCTCACATTGTTTTAAAAAGTGATTCTACTGTACCATGAAAACAAGGCCTCCCAAGCATTGCTTTGCCAGGATTCTTCATGATGAGTTTGGATGGAATCAGTCGCTGTTGGCAGGAGCTTCCGCCTGCTCTGCCTACTCACAGCTGCTCAGCAGTTCACGGAGTGGCAGAAGAGGGCAGAGAGGAGCCCAGGTGTCAAGGATAATAGTCAGTCTTCCGCAGTATTTTTCTTCCAGAACTCATCAGAGGGAGAACCAGCAGTGCCAGATGAGAGAGCCCAGCATTTGGCTGCTTCCCCAAGTCAAGGCTAGAAGGGGATTGAGAATTTGTGTTGTCTGCCAATGTGGCGGGTATCCTTCCTCTAGTGCTTTTGGACCCCCTGAATTATTTCTGCCTCAGTCCTAGTCCAATTCTGAATTTCACAAATGAAGCAGCAGAGGGGCCACCAAAGCCACGGTGCCCTTCAAACCCGTGACGATCAGCCGGAGTCCCCAGGGGGCTTGCAGACAGAAGCGGCTTCCACCGCGGGGAGGTTTGAGACCGCCTCAGGAGGAGCAGGCCAGTTAAGAGCAGGGCTGGCTCCTAATACACAGGGCCCAGTGCAGAATTAGGGTGTGGGGCCCTATCTCCAAAAATCCAGTAGGCAGTACCACTAAAAGCACGAAAATGTTTTCCCTTTCTTCTCACAACTTGTTACAGATTTTTTTGTTTGATACTCAATGCTATTCCAGGAAAAATTAAAGTTTTAAATTATTACAATTTTATCATTCATCTTTCTACTTTTGGGCTATTGCAGTTTTAAATGCCACTATAACAGCATTTAATTCACATTCAGAAAGCAAAATCACACAATTATTTCCTATCTGTTGTATATATATATGTCTCATTCTTAGCAAAACAGTGGAAACAACACACAAAACTAGCTCAACCATTACTTCACTCTTTGATACGTACACAGTCTCTCTCAACTTAGCGGGGAGTAAGGAAGGACTGAGGGAAAGAGAAATTACGAGCTGCCCTCGGTTTTTCTTTTCTTCCGTGTCCTCATTTCAGTGTAAGTGGCTGGCTATTACAAGAAAGTAACATGAGTAGGAAGGGAAAGGTATGGGTTCCACGGTCACTCACGGTTCTTAGAATGCCATCACCTTCTCTGTGTATTTGAATGAAATCTGTTTCAGAAAGCACTACCTCTGGGGCCTCGTGTCCTCACTTTCTCAGCTGTAGACATGACAAACTTGCCTTAAACTCTGAATCTCTTCCTGTATGGTAGGCCCACTGGAATTCTCTTCTCATGGGAACCACAAAGGCTGTAAGTGAAAGGTGGTAAGAACAGGGGACAAACACATTGCACGGATCTCCTCTGCTCACGCGTTTTCAATTTTGTCTCACCATACCTTGACTTACACAAGTTCAAAGACAAAACAAGGAATTTCAAGGCAGTGTCAGGAGAGCATTAAACCAAAAGTGAGACCGTCTGAGTGTGGGGGCCTTGCATGACTGTACAGATCACACGCACGTGAAGCTGGCCCTGGTGAAGGAGGAAGGGAGCACTCCTGGTGAAAGACTCCAGACAATAGGTTAAGAGGATTACATGGGGGAAAAGCTCACCAGGATGTTAATGTTTTGAAACTAAAGCAATTAAAATGGCAGTAGGCACTTCTATAAATCACCTGCCCAGGAAAAAGAGTCTGTGCTGGAATCACAAAATGGGAATAAAAGCAGGATGCTTCACGAGGCACTGATGTAGCTCAGGTTGTGCATGAAGTGCCACAGCGTCGTGCTGCTCACGTCCTGAGGCAGGGAGGTACCCAGGCCAAGGACAGGCACGACAAGGGGCAGCTTGCAGAGACTAATCCATGGAACACCTCTTGCAGCTGTCCTCCCCAAATGTGGGCATGCATCAGCGTCACGAGTTGGGTACAGAATACAAGATGCCCAGGTCTCCTCCAGACCACCAAAATCAAAATTGCGAGGAAAGATTCCAAGCATCAGGACTTTAAATCAACCACAATGATGACAATAATGTTCACAGACTGTCAAGCTTTCTACTTAATGGGTCTGGGTGGTTTTGCTTTCACTGCATGGAGAACTCAAAATATTTTCTGTCCAGTGATGCGTACACAGTGGTTGAAACAGAAGAACCATGGGACCTTTTAGTTTCTGTTTGAAATACATCTATTTTAAAAGCTTTTTTATCATGGAGAGTTTTAAACATTTACAAAGAATAGTATAATGAATCCCCATCTATCCATCACCTGGTTTCAACAACTGACCTATGATCAACCATAGTTTATCTATACCCGTTCTTTACTCCTTTAGTTTTTAAATAATTCCATTTTTAACTTAGTTGTTGGTTTTTAAGTTATACTTCTTTGCATTCTGTTTTAGCAGTTGCTCTAGGGATTACAACACGTATTAACTTTTCTGTTCAGGAGACATATTGTACAATGTCCCCAGTAGCCACATTTGTGTAGTTAACTCTGCCTCCTTGACCAGAGTTGATGACATTGGGTGAGGACCAGTTGAAACTGGGATGCTGTGATGAATTTCCTTCTTTGGCTTAAGCCAACCCAGATGGGATTCTGTCTTACCACCAAGCATTCTCTGGTTAACACATCAGCCTTCATTACGGAGTTATCGTGAAGATTAAGTACGCAGGTGAGAACGCAGAGGCTGGTCCCTTCCTCCAGTGTAACGTGACTGCAACCTTTCTAGCCGTTAGCGTACGAGCCAGCCTCTGCCTACTGCCCCACTCACTTTCCTTCCCAAACACCAGTGTGGGTCCCCCTTCTGTGACTTTACACCTGTAGTTTCCTACCTGCAGTGCTGGCCAGCCATCTCATGTCTTCCTCCCCAGGTCCAGCTCTAGTCCGCCTCCACCTTGGAGCATCTGAGAAGCTGAGTCCTCTAGGAGAGCCCACTCTGGGGGAGCGCTTCACACCCGAACCACTCCGTTAACCTGACCGTCTTGCCTTGTTTCCTGTGTCCTCAGTGGTTATTGGGACAGAGGGTTACCACTGCCAACCATGCTGCTTCGTGTGGAGCCAAGTGAAACAGTAGTAGATTACACTTAAAATCAATTAGTTCACAGTTGTGTGCTGAATTAGGAGCTGCCGCATACTTACATCCAGGATAGACCCAACAGAAACAGACTACCCAATAATGAGGGAAAAAAAGCTGTGGAAACACATATATTCATTTAAACTCTCAAAATGCAACCACTGCTGTATTTTAGAGACAGGACATCCTCATCCAGCTCAGAAACCACCTCTTTCAGAAGACTCTGTCACAATGAAATATGTTGCTTATATATATGCCCATGTCTTGACATCCAAACCATATCTCCTAGCCTGCCTCTTGCACCCATTGGCTGTGACTTGGAAATCTTATTTATCAGTGTCCCTTGTGGTTTCAGAAGTGGGATCTTTGTAGTTACACATCCTTACATTTCCTACAGCACCCAGCACCTGAGCCTTGACCAGTACGCACTCTGGTAAATGCAGCACTTACCAACAGCCAACCAATTCATCTCACATAGATAATATCTATTGAGAGCGGGCCTGAATGCAATAGTGAGGACCATGGTGAAAACAACATAAGAAGTGAAGTGGTGCTTTGTAAAGCTTTATTACAGGGTGGATTTGGCTGTTGGAGATGTGTGCTCAGCCATGGCATACATCCCTGGGTCACACACACAGGCCTGATGTGGTCTCTGTCAAGGAGACGGTGTGTCATCTAGATGGGATGTGTTGGGAGAGAAGAGTGAGTATTTGATGGATGGCAGTGAATGCCAATCACAGAAGTCTCCACCAAGGACAGGGACCCACAAGGCTCAGAACACAATATAGGCAGGTGATGCACATAGCTTCTTAAACACTGATCTTAAGGTCTTGATGAACAGCACCTCAAAGCAATTTTATACACAATTTCACATGAAAAACTATATAGGATGAATAAACAGCAACAAGTACATAACAATATGTGTTCTTTCAGACCTGTGATGTCCAGTACAGCTGTGACTAGCCACAGATAGCCATTAAACTTCAAAATTCTGCTCTTGTCATATTCCAAGTGTTCTGTATCATGTATGTCTAGTGGCTACCATTTGAATAGGGCAGGCATAGAACATTTCCATCACAGAATATTCTGTTGGGCAACCCTGTCTTTTACTATGCATGGCTTCTTTTCACGATTCTCAGAATAACTGCTGCAAAGCCCTTTTGTAACATGCTATATTCAACAAAGAGTTTCCCTGAGGGCTCAATGGTAAAGAAGCTGCTTGCAGTGCAGGGGATGCGGGTTTGACCCTTGGGTTGGGAAGGTCAAATGGCAACCTACTCCAGTATTCTTGCCTGGAGAATCACATGGACAGAGGGGCCTGATGGACTATATATCCATGGGACCACAAGAGTTGGAGACAACTTGGCAATTAAACCACCACCACCACCATATTCAACAAAGAACAGGGACATTTACTCAACTTCAGATACTTTTCTAAGATACAGCATCCTTTAACACTTTAAAGATTCTTTTTACAAACTCTGGCTCACCAGGCAAGCCCAGGATGAGTCAGCATGTCACTACGTACCCTGGAAAAGGGCCCACAGTCCTGGCTGCAGATCGGCCTGTGTGGGTTCTGGGCTTCCCCCCACATTGTAGACAAAGGCCCCAAAGCAGCTCAGTTTCTAGGGCTGTACAGTGTCTCCAGCGTGGAAAGCTGAAGAATGTGAAGGAGCAGGTTTCCTGCATCGTTTTTAAAAAAATTTTAATAGCAAAAGATGTTTAGCCTGCACCTTAAAGCACTTCGTCACTTCCGCCCTCCCAGGGAGCAGGTGGACCTGACTGAGAAACACTCCTGAGCTCACAAGTAACCACTTGAGAAGTGATATTTCTCAGATCACCTGCTTTTCCTCTGGGGATCAGTTGCCTCTTTCTTTTCTCACAGCAGAAAGAGTATCTTGGAGATCCACCAGAACAGGAACCCAAACAACCCTCAGGACAGTTCCAGGCCAACAGAGGGAGAGACCTCATCCCTCAAGACAAAGCTGCGAAGTGAGGACAAGATTAAGCCTGTGGAGAAACAGCTTACCTTTGCCAAGGCTCTAGTTCCCAAATCAACACTTGTGAATGTTCTTTTTAAGTGCGGCCACCCCTTGGGTGAGATGGAGCTCTAGACTGAACTTGAGGGTCTGTGTTTCAATGTCTGGGGGCTTCTGAGGCACACCTGCTCCCACAGGTGGCTCAGGACCATGTCCACACAGGTTCGAGACGGAGGGTTGGGATTTTATTGATAGAATATATGCTTACTGAATCACATAATGAGAAATGCTATTTTCCTTTAAACATGTGATTCTAAAACAGACTGCTGAGACCTTAATTACTGTCTTCACAAAGCATGTTTTTGG